CTTCATCTGTGATGTGGAGGCTGATGTTTCGATATTGATCTGCGCTAATTATTAGTTTTTATATCACATCAGAGCCTTTTTTTTAAAATTTAACTAAGATGCTGATAACATCTGCACGTGCCTCCGTTATCAGACTCCATAATAATAAATAAATAAATATACAGATTTTCAGGCAGTAACACAGAGAGGATGAAGGCTGATTATCAGTCTGAAGTTTTCTCACCTTGTACATCAGCAGACGTTGTTCCAGACCAGGTGAGGACGCAGAGGCACAGCAGAGGAAGAAGCTCCATGGTTGTCGACGTCATCTAAAATCTGAGCGTCTCTGCATCAAGCCACAACACTTTCGATTTCTCAGCTTCCGGGACACACCCTTCACAATAACGGCATTTCCCTGCTGTTATGACGTCAGAGCAAAGAGTGAACAGAATAGAGTGAAAACACTCCTCATCACTTCACCTTCACACTGACATGTAATCTGGAGCTGTGTCAGAGGAAACAGTAAATGTCTGACGGGGTTTATCTGACTTCAATATAACTGCTCATGTTTCAGATGATTTTATTTCATTTTATTTCATTTCTCTTCACAGTCAACAAAACAGTAAATTCTATGTGTTTGTATTTATTATATTTATAATTATATTTGCTGGACATGCACCTGTCCACGGGCTCTCTGTGGCCATCTAGTGGTTGAGTTCGACACTGCACTTATTTTTTTATGGTTGTGTATTTATTGTTTTAACTGCTGTGTTTTGTACGATCGTTGATTGTTGTTTTGTTGTGTTTTCATGTTAATTTGTAGTGTATGTGATGACCCTTAAACTTAAAGTGTTTTGTGCAACTGGCCCCAGAGACTCAGGTTACTTCTCTCTATAGAAAAAGATCAATCATGTGCAAAGGGAAACACTAGCAGCTGATTGCTTCCCTAAAATTCACAAACACCTGCTTTCAACAGATATACATAATAAAGTTAATGACATTTAATATTTAAAGTCTGTGGATCTACAGACTCAGATATCAACATCCTCTTCATAATAAAAGCTCAAACATGAACACACACACACACACACACATGGGCACCCCACCACATCACACACAAACGTCGTCGGTTCGATTCTAAGAGAAAAGTTGGAAATGTGAAAACAAACAAGCTGCTCAAGGTCTGTTAGAGATAAATCTGTGAAGAGGTCTGAGCAGACGAGCTCCCGGCACATGCACCCACGTGCAAACCCCCTCTCCTCCGATGAGACGGCCAATCTGTTGGCCCTTTTAGTTCGGTCAGGGAGAGCAGCATCATGTGAGTGAGTCTCCTGCAGAGAGCCAGCGAGCGTGGTGTGTGTGTGGTGTTGTGTGTGTGTGTGTTGTGTGTGTGGGAAAGGACAGAGTTAGAGGTGAGTTCACCTACAGCATCAATCACCTCTAATCTCAGACACATTAAATCACTTGGCTGTCTCTTTCTGAGGAACGACTCGTGTGACTCGTCTGTTTTGTTTTCTCTGACGTCTCTGTTATTTCATAATATTTATTGATTATTAGCAGATAATCAGAGAGGTTTTGGACGTGCAGTTTCCCAGAAATTAACGATTCCTGTGAAATGAGCCATTCATAAGAAACGGTGAATGTCTTCATGTTACACACTATGAGGTTCAACTAGAGTCCAAACACACTGTGTGTCTGCACAACCGATCGACACTTTACTGTTCTGATGCCTTTTCATTATAGAAATAAAGATTTTTATCAACATTAGTTTGATGTGCATTTTTTCATTTCATTTCATTTCATTTACCTTGAAAGATCATGGAGGTTTCCTTTGCGGATGTTGAGATCTCTCTGCTACAGAGAGGAGGGATCTGTGCTGGTGAATCTGAGGCAGAACGATGAACTGAGTGTGAAGCTGCAGCATCATATATAGAACTGAAAGACTCAACTATACTTTCCCACAATGCAAAGGGACGTTGAATCTGTCTCTGAACAAAAATCTGAGTTTTTTCTGCAGTTTGAATGATGAGATTTCTGAATGATATTTAAATGTAAATGATTCATCAATGATTTATATTGTAACTCATGACGTATTTATCGGTTCTATGAAGTAAATTCAAACTACTGCTTTATTAAATACAATGTGACTGCAGTTTTAATTCCTTTGTGGCTTGTGTTAATTCCAGTCATGAGTTATTCTGTCAGGCTTTTATCTGCTGGAGCATACATTAAATCTCTAACACCAATAGCTGTTCTGTAAACTGGTGAATCAGAAACCAAGATGTGGTTGATTTTCTTGCTTTTTTTTTTATGTCAAACTATTTTAAGTCTTTTTTAAGTGTCTGGTGCAGTCGAATAAATCAGCCGGCCTCAGCTAGTTTAATATTTGAAGACATTCACAAACACAGGCTGTTCAGCTGGAGCACCACACAGACCACCCAACTCTCCATCACAGCCAGGAGGAAATAAAGGAGCGCTCTCAAACATGGAGCTTATGACTAGCCTCTCAACGTATTTACTCAGTCTTCAACAACCTAAGACATTTAATCGTTGGTGAACTCGACACCGAAAAACCTTTGCATCGTTAAACTGAGACAGCACTGGTACTGGGATTAATAACGTGTGCTGTATATCAGATGGATTTTTCTGAAAACATATTATAATGTGAAATTTAATATTATTTTTGTCAAAATGATAAATAAATGCACAGATTGAACATGGGGCATTAAAATCAGCTGCAAACAACATCTGTCTCCTGAAATCCTTTCATACTGTGGAGTTTGTTGTTTGTAATCACTGATCGTCTCCTGTAAGAAACGAGCCAAGGTCGTCTGTTGCAGCAGGTTATTGGACCCATAGTGCGTGTTGTTGCTTAGCGCATTCTAGTGGTCGTAGTAATTAACAGTGCGGTGATGAAGTATAAGGAAGAAAAGTCTTCAGGAGGTTGAGGGTTGATGGATGGATCATCAAAATAAAGGCACGAGGAACAATTTTGTCGTTTCCTTTATCAGTGATCGTACGACATTTAACCCTAGTTGTTATTATTGTAACCATGGAAAACGATGTCGATCTTAAGGAATGCTTATTTCAAGAGGTGTCCAACTTTTTTAGAATTGGGGGCCAGATTTGATAATGTGGAAATACCTGGGGCCATGCGTGTGAAGAGCCATGCTAGGAGGTAGGCTAGCTTCAAAGGTGTTTCACTTCCATGTTGCTTGCAGGACGGCGCTGGTGTGAATAAAGCTCAGGCTCATGTTTTTTTTACAGTGAACTTGTCATAACAGCCCTGTCTTTGGGCTCTCTTTGCTGTGGCCAGTCAATGGTTCCCTAAAGTAATTTCCTATTGTTTGGTAGAAACCAATAAAACACCCTAAAGCTGAAAATCATTATTTTGAATTCTGTCTCTTTAGCTGCTAAATGCTCTCTTACTTCACCAGCTGCTTGACTGAGTCTGTCTGCACACCACATTGTTGTCATTCATCTGATCTGCTGCTAAAATACAATATATGCAACTTTGAGGGAAAGATGAGCAAGAAATGATATTTCTTTTGCAGGTTTTATATATTTTGCATGTCTGTAATCCCATTAAAACTGTAGGTTCAACAGTTTTTAATGGTGATCCAGTATATAATAAATGTATTTTTACATTATTTACACAGCACTAAATAACAGTGTAAACACACACAGGTGGAGCTGGTTCAACATCTGAATGGTATGAGGTGTACCCTCCACACAAGGGACATCCTGACAGTCCTCTCTCCTCTCTGACATCCATGGCTCAGCCCCACTACAGCTGGCTAACACCACCCGCCAGCAACCACCATGATCTAACTCCTCCTACATCTCTCCTTGTTCCTGTACTCCTTCAACCCACTGAGAGCTCACTGAGCTCACCTGTGGTATTTAAAATGATGAATGAGTTCATTTCCTTTTTCTTCATTCTGCTGTTTGAGGAACATTTTAATATATCCAGTTTCAGTCAGAGAAATAAAACTCTCAGCTCTGTTAGTTCAATAGAAACATCTTCACACGACTTTGGTCCTTTTCAAGACTGATCTGTCGGTCGGGTCATTAGATGTTTGACAATAACAACAGCAGTGTTTCCGCTGAGATCAGGAAGTTTGTGGTTTTGGTTGAATGTTTATGAACCACTGCCTCTTTCTTATGTGGCACCACAATGTTTAACCAGCTGCTTCCAGTTCATGAACAGAATCATTTCATTTACTTTGTCACTGAATCTTTTACTGTTTCATTCAATATCAACATTTGGTCAGTTCACATTTACAGCATATTAACTTCATGTGTCTGTGGTGCTGGTCAGAGGAAACTGTGTTAGACACTGTGTGTGTGTGTGTGTGTGTGTGTGTGTAGTTTGCAGGAATAACTGAAGAAATAACAAAAGGAAACAAGTAGTCAAATGGTGAAGGTGAACATGAGCAAAACAGACTGACAAAGACAAGAAGGAGCACAGAGACTAAAAACACCCAAGGGAGGCAAAGGTGACTGAACACAGGTGAAACACTTCAGGACGGAGCAGATAATCACACTGGAGGGAAAACCAAGCATCAACCTCCGAGGCTGAAAGATGAGAGGAACCAAAAGCTGCAGTTCCTCTAACGACCACTAGAGTCTGGCTCCAACAGTGAGTCAGTCCCCATAGACTCCCATGTTAAAATGTCCAACTTTACAGCAGAAATAAACATGTTTACAGCCTGGTACAAAAACTGTTTTGGTCTCTAGAGCTGATTTCCTCCTTCATGACACCTGTTTATATAACTCACCTGTTTATATAACTCACCTGTTTACATTTTATTAAGGACTAAAGTTAAGGAGGATTGAGGGCGTGGCCTCTTTGAGTTACAGGTGGGTGCCACAAACCAGCATGCACTGAAGTCTCAGCTCTACACGCACCCCTCCTCTTTGACCATATTTGGATTATCTGGGAATTAGGGGCGGAGTCAGACACTGCCAAGATGGCGAGGGTGTGGTCTGAGCTTCAAAACTTCTCTTCAGAAACCTGTGGGTGACGTCACGGAGACTACGGCCATCTTTATTTACAGTCTGTGGGGAAAACACAAGACAAAGACAGAAAGTAAACTAAAATGAGACACACAAGGAAAGAGAAAATAAAACAGGACATTAATCAAAAGATAAAATCAAGAGTCCAACAACGTCCAAAAGTGTTGAAACATAAAGTGACACCATGAACCTTTGTCTCTGACTCATCCACATAAACTGAACACAGACAGATAAACAGGATACTTCTGAGGACAAGGAGTGACACGAACGACTGTTCACGAGTGTGAAACATGTTCGACAGTAGATCTGACTGCAACTGTGTGTGTGTGTGTGTGTGTGTGTGTGTGTGTGCGTGTGTGAGTCATTAACCTCCCTAGACAGTATTCCTGTGGGTAAGTGCTTCCTATCAGGAAGTAGGTTCACATTCAGAGTCAACACAGCTGCGTACACACACACACACACACACACACACACACACACTGAATTGTGTAGCGCTGTGTGTTTATTAGACTGCATGAAGGTGTGTTAGGTGTTCCTAATAAACTGACACCTGAGAGCATTTTATCTTTTATCAGGTTGGTTCCACTTTCCACCCACATGAACAAAGTTCGCTATGATCTCACACTGGACACTACTGTGTGTGTGTGTGTGTGTGTGTAGATGTGTGTGTGTGTGTGTAGGTGTGTGTAGGTGTGTGTAGGTGTGTGTAGGTGTGTGTAGGTGTGTGTAGGTGTGTGTAGGTGTGTGTAGGTGTGTGTAGGTGTGTGTAGGTGTGTGTAGGTGTGTGTAGGTGTGTGTAGGTGTGTGTAGGTGTGTGTAGGTGTGTGTAGGTGTGTGTAGGTGTGTGTAGGTGTGTGTAGGTGTGTGTAGGTGTGTGTAGGTGTGTGTAGGTGTGTGTAGGTGTGTGTAGGTGTGTGTAGGTGTGTGTAGGTGTGTGTAGGTGTGTGTAGGTGTGTGTAGGTGTGTGTAGGTGTGTGTAGGTGTGTGTAGGTGTGTGTAGGTGTGTGTAGGTGTGTGTAGGTGTGTGTAGGTGTGTGTAGGTGTGTGTAGGTGTGTGTAGGTGTGTGTAGGTGTGTGTAGGTGTGTGTAGGTGTGTGTAGGTGTGTGTAGGTGTGTGTAGGTGTGTGTAGGTGTGTGTAGGTGTGTGTAGGTGTGTGTAGGTGTGTGTAGGTGTGTGTAGGTGTGTGTAGGTGTGTGTAGGTGTGTGTAGGTGTGTGTAGGTGTGTGTAGGTGTGTGTAGGTGTGTGTAGGTGTGTGTAGGTGTGTGTAGGTGTGTGTAGGTGTGTGTAGGTGTGTGTAGGTGTGTGTAGGTGTGTGTAGGTGTGTGTAGGTGTGTGTAGGTGTGTGTAGGTGTGTGTAGGTGTGTGTAGGTGTGTGTAGGTGTGTGTAGGTGTGTGTAGGTGTGTGTAGGTGTGTGTAGGTGTGTGTAGGTGTGTGTAGGTGTGTGTAGGTGTGTGTAGGTGTGTGTAGGTGTGTGTAGGTGTGTGTAGGTGTGTGTAGGTGTGTGTAGGTGTGTGTAGGTGTGTGTAGGTGTGTGTAGGTGTGTGTAGGTGTGTGTAGGTGTGTGTAGGTGTGTGTAGGTGTGTGTAGGTGTGTGTAGGTGTGTGTAGGTGTGTGTAGGTGTGTGTAGGTGTGTGTAGGTGTGTGTAGGTGTGTGTAGGTGTGTGTAGGTGTGTGTAGGTGTGTGTAGGTGTGTGTAGGTGTGTGTAGGTGTGTGTAGGTGTGTGTAGGTGTGTGTGTATGTGTGTGTCCTCTCAGGGCTCCTGTGGCATTGAGTTCACAGGTTGGCAGGAGGATGTGAAGGTCAGTGAGCTCCACTGTGGGTCAACAGTCATTAAAACACACACACTCTCCTCTCACAGCGGTGGGTAGATTAGAGATATTTTATGTCAACATTTGGTTTTGAGTTGCAATTAAAACTTGTTTCTGTTTCTCTCATTAAACTCTGGATCAGAGCGACAGGTGAAATGTGTTAAAATGTGCAGATGTGATTTTCTCTTTTTGCACTAAATCACTAAAGAAAACTTTATATCTTTTCAAGACAAAATTTGATCCAGAATGAGACATAGTCTATATGTCCCCCCCCCCCCCCCCCCCCTCCCACTCCCCCCCCCCCCCCCCCATAGTGTCAGCTCACACTCAGCTTCATGTTGATGTGATAAAAAGCTGTTGTTCAGAAACATCTGTTTGCCAGACGACATCTTAAACCTTCTGTGACCAGGAGGAAAATAAACTGGATCCTTTCAACAGGAGCAATAAAAACATCAGACTGTGAGCAGCTGAAGTTTACACTGTCAACAAATGTTCATTTTTTAAAACTTTATTGATCCTGTTCAAAATAAGAAAAACTGAATTTTATTTAAAGTTAAAATATAAAACGTCTTCTTCTTCTTCTGTGTTTTATCTTTAGTGTTGATCCATAAGAAGATATAAAAACCATCTCAGTGTAGTTTTACATCTCCTCTCTCAGGCTTCTCTCTGCAGCTCTAGTAACAACAGGTCGGTGAGCCAATCAGAAGAGAGGAGGCTCTGAGCCTCTCCTCTGATTGGCTGACTGTTTTCTGACTGATCCAATAAAAATATTTCAGGTAAAACCTGTTGACCAAGCCGAGGTGTTTTACCCAAGCGTAAAACACCTCGGCGGTATTTCCTCATCCAGGTGATTTTCAGAATGTAGGCTGTTTCAGACTGTTTGACTATTTGATGATGATGATGGATGATATTCGCCATGAGCTCGTAAAACACTTTTCACACCATGATACGAGGTGTTTAATGTCTGCGGAGGCTCGTAAATTCTCTCTGCTCAAATCCTGCTCTACACATGACCCTGAGCCGCCCGGGTATCTGGACTAACGTCCTCTGACGTGACACTTATCAAACACACACGGATACTAGATACTGTATGTACACACACACACACACACACAAAACACACAAACAAAACAATGTTATGTAACATCCACTGACCCCCCCCCCCCATTCAAAATCCCACTTCGGGACCTCACGACACACAAACACACACACTCACACACAAACACAAAACAATGTTATGTAACATCCGCTGATACATTGGACATTATCTTCTGATGCAGCTGTTTTACACACACACACACACACACACACACACACACACACACACACACACACACACACACACACACACACACGACTGGACTGAAGCTTTGTTTGTATGTTGAATGTTCAGACACATCGGCCTCCAGCTGCTGCTGCTTCATCCAAATCATCCATTTGAAAGTTTTAAATGTGACTGTGTGAACTTTAGTTGTTCTCTCACTTCCTCTTCTAATAACAAAAGAGATTAATTCAGTTAATTTAGTTAAGGTTTGTTTTACTGGTTGTGGACCAGAGGGACCAGACGTCCTGCTCTCATTGAAAACACCATAAATAATAAACAGTTTCCTGTTGCTGCTTCTCTGAAACATGTATTTCTGTGTAATTATGACTGTGCAGCTACTTGAGGCCTCAGATAACCCGAGCTGAGCAAAGACCGCATTTGCAACCAAGCGACTCCCCCTAGAGTCCAGGGGGAGTTGCACAGAACACCTTAAGTTAAGATTTTCCTTAAAGTCTGAGTTAAGGTTTTCTTAAATAAAGACTGTTGCACAAAACACCCTTAAGTTTCACCCTTAAAGTTTCCCTGAAAGGTTCACTTAAGTATTTAAGGTTGTAGGTTGAAATATCTTTATTATCCCAGAGGGGGAACGTGTTGTGCAGCCAGCAGTAGCCAAACAGATCACAAACAGACAGCAGCAGCCGACCACAGCGAAACAACGATTCACACAAACACCTTTTATTCTGAATAAACACAAAGGTCCAACTGGTAAAAAGCAAAATATAAAATCACAATGAGTTATTTAGTTTTCTCCTTATCTTAGTATTGTACTTAATAAATCCCTTAAAGTCACTTAAACTGTTGCACAAAAGATCTTAGTGACCAAAGTAAGGGGGAAAAGAAAAACTGAAGGTACGTCTGACTTTATCTTCAATGCAACATGGAGATAAATGAAGAAAATGAACAAGCAGACTGTTCAACGCCCGGGAGACGCCCTGAATGATGCAGCAGAATTTTACTGCTGTAAAATCTTTCTCTGCTGAACTTAAGTAGGAAAACCTTTGAAGAGATTCTGTGCTAAAGTTTAGTTCTGCGTTGGTCGACACTGGCGTCAGTCTGAGGTTTTCTGCTTCAGGATGAAGGAAAGACGGAGATGGAGGCGGAAAATGAGAAACAGCAGTAATTACCGAGTCACCAGGCTGAACGACCAGTCAACCAGCTCCAGCTCCGACACAATAACAGCTGCTAATGAAGCAGAGCTGCTCCAGCGAGTTGCTCCAGAATACAGGTGAGGCACCGTCACAGCTGTTCAATGATGGACCGACACTGACTGACATGAGCCTATTGTGTCTGTTCACTCACTGTATCCATGGAAACACATGCATATGTCTCCAATCAGCAACATCTTATGACAGTGTAATGGGTTTTTACATTGAAAATACTCTAATTGGGGCGACTCGCGGCTCACCTGCTGGAGCGTGTAACATCCTGGCCGCCCGGGTTCGAGTCTGACCCGTGGCTCTTTGCTGCAAGTCATCCCCTCTCTCTCTCTCTCTCTCTCTCTCTCTCTCTCTCTCTCTACCTTTCCTGTCTCTTTCTGACTGTCATTATAATAAAGTTTCAGTGTTCCAGTTTCACTTTACTGCTCTGGTTCAGTCTAAAACACACTGTACACCACCTGCCCAGAGCCACACCTCAAAGTCCGAGAGCAGCTGTTGAACACAGTGGAGCATTTAGCAGGTAAAGAGCCAGATGTTGGTGGAGACCAAACACAGAGCGACAAGACAAGGAGAAGAGTCAGATTTAACAGGTGGACAGAAAAATGACTCTGACAACTGAATGATAATGTTCTTTAAAGTAACGTGTTCCCAGCTTTATAAGGGCAGAACACGTCAGTGTTGTGTTTATGGTCTCTCAGCAGACTATGAGAGGACCAGCTGAGAAGCAGCTTCAGACTGTGTCCAGCTGT